TTAAAATCATTTAAGGAAGTATTGAGCACAATTCAGAAAATATTTGGGAGGAGCAATAATAAAATTATATTCCTCCTTTTCACTGGGGAGAAGTATGTTAATAGAATTTTTTCTATTCCAGTTTTTTTTGAAAGAAAGTTTCTACAAAATGGTGGTCTTAAAATAATGCCCCTTTTCTGAATTAATTGTGTTGTGTTACTTTTTGCTGAAACATAACTGACCAAAAGGAAAGAAAGTTATTTTTGAAATATGAAGGCAATTTGTCTGGAAAACTTAAACTTTATGCTAATCGGTTCCTGTTTTTCCATAATTTAATTATACCTGGGGAAATGTGTAAAGATATTTAAGGAAGAATTTTAAGAGATTTTTACAGCTGTGTAAAAATTCTCAAATTGGAACAATTGTGTTTAAGCCAGAGCATTTTGCTTCCAGATAAGGAAATTAAATGAGAACGGAATTTTGCTTTTTGGAAACAAAAACAAAATACCCCCCCAATTCTGAAGTGCCTCAACTATAAGACCAGCGCACCCAGGCGAGTACTCTTTCATTTGACTCCGTATTGTAAGAATTTCAAGAAAAGTTATTTGCCAGTAGTTTGCTGAAACACAGTGAGTGGGAGGGATCGGGAACAGTTTGCCCGACGTGTGGGTCTGCAGCTTTTGGGCGGGAAACCTCACCCGGGGCTCCAGAGCTGGTTCCCTAAAATCATCCCCAGCCGCCCCTCCACCCCCTTCCCCGCATAAGTCTTTTCCTGATCCTCCAAAGGCGCATTGCCACGTTTTCCTGGCTTCCCGAAAGGACGGCGCCAGGGTTCTGTCTGAAGACAGCTCCATTTTAGGTTTAGCCTGGTGGGGGAGTGGGGGTGGGGTGGGGGTGGTGGTCAGTCTCTGGGGTTCTGATTCAGCGTCCCCCTTGACTTCACTTCTCTTAGATAGCGGAGACAGACATCTCACAGATAAAGGGACCAAATTATAAGTGCTATACATCTGGAAATGCAGTAAAAGTAGTAGATTGTGCCAAGTGTTGCCTTCATAATAGTGAAGGCAAGGGTTTCTTTTGTTTGGTGTTCTTGGGGACAAAACGACAAATTTAAAAGCCCCTTATTAGTGAGAAATCACCAGTCTTCTTTGGAACGGTTTGACTTCTGGAGAGGAGGTGGTGATGTGATGAATAAAGGGAAAGGTGACTGGGGAGAGAAAGGGGAGAGGAAGTTGCTGGGGCGGGAGGTGGAGTGAAAGGGCGGATCTGCTGGCCTGGGGGTCCTGGCGACCCTGGGGCGCAAGCTGCGCGGGAAGACTGGCGGCTGCGAAGGCAGCGCTGGGGCTGCAGACCCCGGCCTTATTTGCCGGGAGGAGAGCGCGGGTGGAGTCGCTCGCCACAGTGCCACGGCCCCTCCTCCTAGTTTTAAGAAGAACCAAAGCATTGTTTCTGCTGTAATAGAAGTCACTCATTGCTTATAGTTGACAACCACTTCGGTGGCTCTGGCACCTTTTTCGGTTCCTTGCATTGTACTCTTGGAGTTTTTGAAAAAAAAGAAAGAGAGAGAGAGAAAGAAAGAAAAAGAGAAAGAAAGAAAACAGCCAATAAAATGTGTACTTCGTTTTTTAAATGAAGAAATCTTAGATTGTGATGACCAACAGGCATATGAATAGGTTAATTCCTTAATTTTTCTCCCCAGTGTGTTGATGATTCTTTGTAACTACTTGAACTTATTTTTGAAACATTTTGAAAGAACTATGATAAATTAAGCTACTAAAACATTTGGCTTTCACAAGACATGCGTTTTGAGTCAAGCACAGGTCTTTCTGGCACTGAAAACAAGTAGGAAATGAGAAAAAAATTAAAACCAGAAGACTTCAGGAAGGTGACAAATTGGAAAGCATTCTAGGAGATTCATAGGACTATTTTATGTGAAAGAAGCACTCTAAGAGCTTAAAGAGATTATGGTCAGTTTTGTAAAAGGCTCTAAGTCTCGAAAGATTGTGGGGGAGGTAGGCAGAAAAGACGAATCTATTTAAACGACTGTGCCCTATCCCTGAAAGAGTGATATTTTCTGTCTCACTGTGTCTCCTTCCTTCACTGCTCTCCCTTCCCAATTTCCTCCCCTCCTCCTCTTTTCTCTTCCCTTCTCTCCCTCTGTCTTTCTCCCACCCCCAGGTATGTACACGGATTTGCCTTAAATTCTTTGTGAATGAATGTTAGAGGATTTCTCAGAGTTCCCAGTTGGAAAAAGCCTTCTACACAACTTGAAAGGCTGATGTCCCTCTCAGGAAATGAATGAGTCGATAACCTCTGACACCAGTGACCAGTCCAGTGAACCCTACCTTAATTCCACTAATACTGGAGGCCCCCAATCAGGCAAGGCTGTGACTCTCATAACCATACCATTCAATGTGGTTCAGTTATGGTATTTCACACTTTTCATATATAGATTGATAGGTTTGAATCTCATCAAATTTAATAATCAACAAGGGTTTCAGAATCCACCTATATATTGTTTCTGATTTTATGATGATTAAACTATTTTCTAATTAAAAATAAACTTACAGATAAAATATTGTTTACCATAAATGTGTGTGTTGGTGACAACACTAGACTATACTGGTCTGTGAATTTTATGATAATTACTTTCATATAAATAGTAGCACTTACCCTCAATTTCCATGAATACTTTTCAGATTATTTTTCTCTGTTACCAGATGTTGATTTTTTTCAGATGTTAATTTTTTATCAGATGTTGATTTTTAAAAGTAGTTCATTTAAGATATAAAAAACATGTAACTTATTTTAAATTAGTTTTTTTCTATTTCATATTATGTGAAATGTTTCACCTGAAATGCCATCTTAAAGTTACTTCATTATAGGTCAGTGTAATCAGTTGATTTCTACTACTAAAACAATGCCTAAAAATGTTTTGTTAGCAAATAATTTTTTTGAGCGCTTTTGTTGTTACTCTTGCAAAATCATTTGGATTTTTACACTTTTGCTTTCCTCCCTACCAGCTGGAATATGGTTATTCTCCCCAAAGTAAATAAAATGAGAAAGCTTTGCCTCCTTTCCTGAGAAACAACAAAAGAAACATGAAAAATCTTTCCAAATTGATCAGTCTTGATTGATGCCTTTTACCACAAACAGCTGAAAAGAACATATTTACACACACCCCATTTATTTCAGTTCTGAACCAATTAGTATGAATTTATATTTAGTTATTTAATGTGGGGACGAGGTGTAAATAGGTGCATTCTGTGGGTTTTCAAAAGCTTTTAGATCCGGAATCCCCACACTTTAGTTTGTGAGAAACAGTGTTAAGAGTTAGGAGTGTAGACATGTTTCAAGAGCCGGGGAGGGGGATTGCGGGTAAGGTGGGGGAGGGTCAACTCGGTAGCTTTGCCGAAGGGAAGTGGTATCTGTACAGTTTCTCCGTAAACTGCTTGTTTAAGAAAAGGGGGGGTGGGGTGGGGGAAAGAGTGGTGGGGCGTTTTAATGTTTCAAAGACGGGTTATATTTTATATTTTAAAGGAAGTAAAGCATTTCTAGTTGATCCATAATATTTATTGTAGTATTCGATGAGGGCGGTAATATTGGCGTGAGCATCTAGTAATCAACAATCCTTTGAATCAATTTGAAAGGTAAAGGGTAAGCATTTTGAAACTGGGGCCAGGCCAGAGAAGGGACGGTAGGAGCCTAATCCGTTATTAAATTTTCGTTTATTCGACTCTTCTATCTATTGGTAGTGGACTTTTTAAATGTCAGGGTCCAATCAATATGATATGAATTTACCTTTTTTCTCCCACTTGTCCTCTTTCTTTTCCCCTCCCCCC